TTGAGCATAGAAAGCACCCACAGCGGGTGGTGGTACTTGTAGGATAAGCCAAGCTTCCCTACATCTCATGGCCAGGCCAAAGGACATGCTGCAGCCTTCAGCACCTCTCCTAGAACTCTTCCTTTTAAAAGCTCACTCTACTGGGTCGTAACTTGTTTGTCCTGGGCCATCATCAATCTGATCAGAATCAAGCTGCATTCAATGGCTTGCCATGAAAAGAACAGCAAGGAACCAAATCACATCCCCGAAAAACAAATGTCAATTGAAGAACAAATGCCTGAACATCCAGAGGAACACAAAAATAAAAGTAAAAGTAATTATAGTGACTGAAAAAAATACCATGATGGCTCCCAACAGTATCAGAACCAAAGAAAGAGTTCATGCACTGAATTCCAGAATACATCACTACAGAGGGGCACAGGGAGTGATCATCTCATCTCTACCCTAAAATGGAGATTCTGTAGAATGGAACAGAATGGCATATTCCACCCATAAGTGCAGTGCTCAACAGCTAGACACTGGGGCAGCAGACAGGGAATTAGTCAGGTACCACCAATCCAGGGACAGAGAGCTTTCCTCAAATTATGCTAGTAAACTGTAGATGTCTTCTACTGACATACAGTTTTTGTTGTGAGTTATTTTTAACTGATACAGAAAAACTATACATACTAATGGAATACCTTACAATGTTTCACTATGTATAATATGTAAATCAAGTAAAAACATCATATCTTCAAATATCTTTTTTATGTGAAAATTTTGAAACTATTTTCTTACTTTGAAGAGCACTATATACTAATATCATTTCTAATCACCCCACCATGCAAAACCACACCAGAATGCCTTGGTCTGCACACAGTTTTTACTAAAGCAGATTTACTTAACAGTCTTTTGTACTTTGCACTTGCTGCTGGGGATGCAGAAGCAGCATAGTCAAGATGCAGGCCAAGAACTTCTCATGCATTACATCAGTAGCTAGAAGAGCATCAAAAGACCAAATTGTATCTGAGCTCTAGTAGGATACAGAAAGTTACAAAACTCTGAGATTAGCTGGCAAATAGCAATTTGAAGGAAGGCAGTGAACAAATGAGATACTTACAAAAATGTATCAAGTGCTTCAGAAAGTTACAATATAATCTATTACACAACAAACCTGTTACAGAATAATCGTAATACAGACTTTCAAGTAAGATGTATATTTTTGTATTTGCTTGAAACCCTGCTTTGTCTCTTACCATGCACATGGAGATGTGTGTGCCATGCATCAAGGCATATCAAATTGTTTTAGGCTATCAGAACCAGGAAGCAAAACAGAGAGTAAATAGATTAAGATTAGAGATGGCAAGAGAGACTTGCCACGTGTTGCCTTACTAAATAGGGACCTGGGCTATCAGACTCTTTGTTCTAAACTGTATTGCCTTTCATGAGAAAAAAAAATGGCTTTTGTTGTTCACTTTTAGGGTAAGCCAACACATGAAATAAAATGTCTAATACTAAAAAGAAATAAAGAAGCTAGTTCACATAAGGTTTATTCATGTTAGCTGAAATCTACTTATTTTCTAATAATCTCTATGAGAAAGATGACATCAGTACAAGACTGAATTATGGATCTTTACTTCCCAGCCCACGATGTGGTTGTAAAGAATTCCCTCAGAGCATTTTATTGAACCTGTTTTCAGATGATCTGGCCAAGCTAGAAAAATGCTGCCACCAGAACAACAAAAACATACAATTCTTGTAGTGAGCATATTATAGACTTCCTATTTTGTTCATCCTTAAATGGCAGGCAGAGGATGAAGCCACTGACCCTAATTGATTCTCCTGGTTAAATAAAAAGAATTGCACCAGGGACCTCGTCTCTCAAGGAAGGCAAGATACATTTGGCAGCATACAATATGTTAGTAACCTAAGAGACATAGAAAGCATGTGGAGATGGAAGAGAACAAATTCAGAAATTTGCAGCAAATGACTGTGTAAATGTATCTAACCAAACATATATGGATATATTTTATTCTCCATAAACCTGAAGAAAGGTGTTCCACACAAATTCTTATTATTAAATTTCAAAATCTGTTAGATACCTTCAGAGAACTATGCACAAATAGAAAAGAATTTCTGGGGAAATACATACTGAATAATTTTAAAACCTAATTGCCTTTATGTAATTGGAAGCTTCAAATTGGGAGGGGGAACATGTTCTACAGCGACACCTCCTGGTAAGTGTTAAGAAGATGCAAGTCACAGGCAAAATAGGCAGAGGGTGGCAGCTTAAGGCGATGGGAGCAATGGGGTGACACAGGGCACCGGCCCCTCTGTACTATATCATGAGCCCAAAGACAACCATGACCCCTCTTCCTCAAAAGGCTTCCCCTGGTCCCAGATGGCCAAACAACATTCCATGTGCAAGTTAAAGGTAAATGCCAAATTACTCCTCCTTCTGTATTCTAAGGAGTAAAACTGAAAAATGTAAAGTAAAACTCTACCATGTCTCAATTGAACTGAAGAAAATGAAAAGCAGAAGCCCACTTTAAAATATTTTTTCTAAAAGGTGTGTGTTACAGTACTGAATCCTGTCTCCCACTCCCCACCATACTTTTACATAAAAATCTAAGAACTAATGAGTCATGTGACCAATGTCACCATTGACATCAGATTCTCAATGTAAAAAACTTAGTGTGCACACTTCTCAAAGCAAAATTTACTAATGTGCTATTTCAAACTTATTTTAGCCAAAGGTCAATCAGTTGAGACCAGAAGTGCAAGTTTCTGCAATGGCCTGTACCATACCACAGACAATGCCGCAGGAAAACTTGACAAACTAGTTCAAGTCCCCACCCCTATAAGATTCTGTTTAGGATTCAAGATCAGCAGTACAGTACAATGATGAGCAACAGAAAACCTGGAGTCTGGTCTGTGCTCCGCCTTCCTAATGCGTTTCCACAGACTGACACCATTACCTTCAAGTATTCACTGTCTCCCCTTAGGTAACTAGAAGGCACTAAATGCTGCAGCAATATCACTGTTATCCGCACCTGTGAACTAACTCCCCAGCAGCCAGGGTAGGTCTGCATGTCACAATGTCCCTACCTCAGTGACCACATACACTTTTCTTTCAGTGTCCTGTTGGTCTTCCAGCAGTACCCTGCTATGAGAAAGCAGTAAATAGAACCACACCTTCTGGCTGTGACGTAACTGGGTAGCACAATGGAAAGAACCTTAGTTTCCACCTCCAGCATCTTCTTGGCCCACAGTCAGAACCCAGTGTTCACTTCAAATAATGGCCTGGGAAGAACAATCCACTCTACAGAATAAAGGCTTGGACTTGCAGTAGAGGTTAGAGCACAGGTATTTCATTCAGATTGTGTTCCATTATAGCTACAGAATCCATGTATTAAAATTTGACAACTGAGGATGCTTGGATTTACTCTAAAATGTAAGCAGTAAGATAGAATAAGTTGCTATACATCCTAGCATTTTCTAAACCTATCAGCTGATGGTTGCAGTGGTTCATTTATTGTAGAGGTAAGAAAATGAAGGCCATTCTCTGTACTGATTCATACCAATGACAGGCCTCAAAAGTGACTTCCTGGATGCAATCATTTCTCTACTCAAGGGTTTGGCAAAGGATAAAATGATAGGAAGAAAGATTGGGGGGGTGTGGCTCAGCGGTTAGAGCACTTCTCCCAAGTAGTCACAAAGTTTCCAGGACAGCAGCGAAGACACATTTCATTAGTAAATAGCAACAGAAAAGTTAACTTCCAAATTTGCCCATTAGCTTTCTCTTGCACCTAAAAATGCAGTAGGCTCTTGTCACTCATAGAGTTCATATCTATAGTCACAGTCATCAGAAGCAGCAGCGCTGCCTTCGTAAGATTTGCTGATTTAGGGGCCAGGGACTCAGAGCATCATTTTTGCCTGTATTAAAGGTGAATTAATTACTACAGTGCCCTTGAACTTCGAACTGTGTACACAGAGTTCTTTCCATTAAGAATACACACATTATTCTCAGAATGGTAATGTGTACAAAGGATTTAACTGCACTGCTTTCCCCATTCACGTTTTCTAATCAAATATTTATCGAGCACCTATTACGGGCCATAACTATTCTACTTGAGAAAAGGGGATGAGCAGGAGAGCATATGCATGAAGATAAGTAAGACAGTAAGTAAGTGCTAGGAAGAAAAACATAGTCGCCTCGTCTATTTTCCTGACATAGAGTCTAACCCACCCGATGAATGTTCCTGGTAATGGACTGCACGTAGACCACGGCACAGAACATCAATCATTTCTACTGAATCGAGAGCTCGCGTCCAACACACATGTGTATTCCAGTTCCAATATTCTAAATATGAGTCAAAGGAAACACGAAAGAAACCGAGAGCAAATGAAATATGACACGAAACAGATTTAAAACATCTGTTCTCCACTCTGCCGGCTAAGCACATACAAAAGGAAGGTGAACTGGATGCCCAGTTGATTTTTTCATTTTAGAAAAGGGGAGAAGGCACACAAAAAAATCGTACAGTACTTTTTGACATCCCTTACTATTTCAAAAGGCAAGCACAACACATATTAAGAAAACCAAACAAAACTCCTTAAAATAATCTACAAGAGCGATGCATGCACTCCCATCCCAGCCTCCAAATACACTTCTCCAAGCTGCTCCTCAACGTTGCTGGGATGCAGGCAGGAACTTACTTTCCCTGACTTTGGCTCAGGGTCAAGCGTCCCAAAACCTGCAAGAAGAGATCCTCTAGTCCCAGCTACCACTAAAAACCACAAGGGTCGCGCAATGACTTCGGGCAGTCTGCGCCCTGGAGACCCGAGGCCGGTGTTGGGGTCCCCTGCAACAGAGCACCGCTTCTCCACCTCCCCGCCCGGTGAGCGCGGCCTCGCCCCGCGTGCACAGTCGTCACGCTGAGGATGGAGAGGCGCAGCTGACCTGCAGCGCACACCCAGCTCCCGCCCGCCGCCCGGGGCCCTGTAGCAGGGACTCTGACCTCTCCGAGCCCCGGGGCTGCTGCCGCTGCCGCTGCTACCCGTGCTCGGGCTACCGCTGCCTGAACCGCTGCCGCTGCCGCTGCTGTGGCCGCCGCCGCCCTTGGCGTTCTTGCGAGGGGCCATCACCAGCTGCTCTCGGGGACTGCAGAGCACGAGGGCCTTGCTGAGTGCGCAAGGGACACGGAGGGCCCGCGACTCCTGCAGCAACACCTCTGCCTCCACCGAGCTCGCCGTGCGTCGGATGACTTGCACCAGCGTGCTAAGGAACTGCTAGCCTCTGGTGCGCCCAGTCTGCGACTCCCTCAGTGACCAAGAGCGCTCAGCTACCCCGACCTCGGCCCCGCCCCCGCCAGCCTTGGCACACCCACCAGATCTGAAGGATGGCAATACGAGCCAATCGCGAAGACCGCAGGCAGGGGGCGGGGCCGGTACGTTCTCCAGCCCTCCGCAGGCCAAAGCAAGTCTGGTTTTGCGCGGCGTTTGCAAAGCCCGAGCGGCGTGTGGCTTTTTAGTCTGCCTTGGTCCTCTGGAACGTGGCAAACGTGGAAACCCGCAGGGCTCTCGCGAGCATTGGTGTTCTGGCTCCAACGGGATGGGGCGGGCACGGAGGCGGTGCCCGAGAGCAGCGCACCACCTCTTGGCTTCTTCCTGGGAATTTGGTTCCGGTGGTGCTTAAGCATGCACCAGGAGTGCTAGCCCTTTATTCAGAAAGGATTCGTCACAGTTCCACGACTACACCATATGGGGTCGTTGATCCTTTCTGTGTCAAAACAGGGATTTATGTCATTTGTGCCATCAGGGGTTTTGGAAAACCTTAATTAAGACAAAAATGTGAATATGACTAAAAAATCCCATTTTCTTACCACACGCGACAATCTCTCTGAAATCTGCCCCCGCCAGACTCTTATCTGGAGTTATTTGAAGTGCCCAGCCATAGATCTGTGCTTGTGCATGTGCTGCCTCAGGACTGAAAATTGGATGTTTTGTTTAATGGCAACAGTTGGACAAACCGGCTAAAGACCAACGGAAACCATCATTTTGTGTCACCAATTGCTCATGTCGTGTCTGTGAAACATCAGGTCTGTGAAATATGTGGTGACTTGATAAATTGTCGTCCACTTCCAGAGATCTTCCCCGATCTGAACCACCTTGGTAGTATATCACCTTGCAATAGAGCCAAAGAACACTACAGCTGTGATACGCCCAGCTTTATCCCCCTTCTGCGGCTTGCAGTTTCCACAGCCACCGCTGACCACTGCTTTGGGTCTGCTGGCCTCTGTCTTGTCAGCTGTGAATGGCCGGCCAGGGTCAGCCCAAGGACTGCCTTGATGGAACCCATCAAAGCCAGCGTTACAGAACCGGGAGAAACTGGTTAAGTTAAAAAGAACTAGCCAGAAGCGGGCGTTGGTGGCGCACGCCTTTAATCCCAGCACTCGGGAGGCAGAGGCAAGCAGATCTCTGTGAGTTCCAGGCCAGCTTGGTCTACAGAGTGAGTTCCAGGACAGCCTCCAAAACAATACAGAGAAACCCTGTCTCGAAAAAACCAAACCAAAACAAAAAAACAAAAAAACAAACAAACAAAAAAAAGAACTAGCCAGAAAAGAGCTAAACTAAGGCCAAGCACTCAAGACTAATAAGTCTCTGTGTCGTGATTTGGGAGCTGATTGGTGGCCTAAAAGACAAAGCCTGGAACAGTAGGAAGATAAGGTTATACACCACTTGAGCCCTAAGTGGCACAACCTACCTACTGTGATATGCTTGGCTGAGAGGTCCCTGGGAATATTCCGTCTGGACCTCAGTCAGCAAAACGTTATGCTTTTTGTCTTTTGCCAAACACATATTGTCTCAGTGAGTCCTTGGGTCCCTATTGGTGATATCTAAATTCTGAAATTCCCCCTTTCCTCCTCCCCACCACCCTCAGGCATTTTCCCCATGTTCCTACAATTCCCTTCTTCTATCCTGCCTCAGTACTGACATATCTCCTTAAGCAGTAAGGGCAAAAATAAATTTTGTAACTACAAATCACAGGAAAGCAGAGATTCAATGATGTTTATGCACTGAGTGATATAAAATTAAATTGAAAACAATTCTTACAAATTAAGAAATTGTGAATATATGTGGTTTACTTTCCAAATTTTCCAAATTAAGTGGCTAGAATGATACATTTTACATCTGTTTCTACTTCCAACTTTATGGGCATCAAAAATGCCAGACTCTTCTGGTATCTGCATTCTCTTTTGTAAGACCTTTCCATGGTTTGGTGTAGGGAAATCTGGGGAACCTATGTCCCTGAAATTACAATAAAGGGAAAATAGTGTGTATCAGCCTATCCTTTTCTCTGAGATTTCAAGCGACACAAAGGATGAATACTGGGTGAAATAATGTCAAAAGCACCATAAAGACAACACTTAAAAAAGACAATGTATTAAAATACTAACTTCTCATCATGCATTTGTATATTTTCATATTATAGTATAGAAGATGTTGCAATGAGAGCCATAGTGGTGAAGACAAATATCCTTTTTAAAGTATATAATGTTTTTATTAATCCTTTGAGAATTCCATAATGCATAAAATATATTTGATTATATTTGAATCTCTTCTTCCCCTAACTCCTTCCGGATCCACCCCCTACAATCCCACCCTCTCACAACTCCATGTCTAGTTTGCACTACCCATATGCTCATGGATGTGTGTGGGTGCAGGGGTGTCATCTCCACATGGGAACACGGTTAACCTTACCAAGGGCCATACCCTTAAAGAAAACTGACTCTTGTCCCCCTGAGGCTGGCCCTCAGTTAGTGGTAGGGCTCAGGAGCCCCTCCCTTCTCTGTGCTGGAATGGCGGCTGTCCTGACCCTGCACAGGGCTTGTGTGGACAACCATAGCTACTGGGAGTTCATGAATGCAGAGGTCTTTTGTGCAGAAGGCATCGTTTTTTGCTCAAACCCTCAAGTCATTTGATTCCTTCTTCCTCTTCATCCTCTGCCTGTGAGGGGCGATGTATATATTCCATGTGAGGCTGAACACCCAGTAGACATTCGTTTTCTGCATTTTGACAGTTGGTTCGGTGTTAACCAAAGAAACTTCTCTAACAATGTGTGGGCTGCAATAAACACAGGTGTAGACAAGAGTGTTCTTAAAGTTTTCTCTACTCAGTTTTCCCCAAACCATTTTCCCATATTAGTTATACTTCATCAACTTAGTGAACTGTCATTTGCAACAAAAACTTGACTCTGTTATTACAGACAAGATAAGCTTCTAAGTCACCTCCTGGATAAAAACATTTAAGGAAGGCTATTTTAGGAAATTAATAGAATTAATATACTGTTCTTAAATCTTAAACTTAATGATTGTTAGAGTCTAACACATGGGGGGAAATTCAAATGTTAATTTCAACCATAGCAATATGAACTGTATAAAAATAAATATTCTTCTATTCAGATTGAGTTTTTAAAAAGTAACCGAGATGTAGAAAATAATATGGAGAAATTCAATTTACACGATAATTTTAGTAAAAAAAAATACAGATGTGTGTCTTGAGGCTCTACTAAGCCCACCCCAATGTGTATGTGTCCACCGTTCTCTGAGAAACAGGTCTCAGATCTAGAGGGAAGTATCCTAAAAATAGCATCAGTGACCTTCCAGTTTCATACAGTCTAACTATATAGAGCCGTTGAATTTTCCTTACAATGAAGACAATTATTGCAGTGACCCCTTGGTGGTTCACGGAAAAGCATGCATAAGCTACATGAACTTTGTATTAACTCAACCACCCCTTTGTGTTTTACAACGATGTCCTCCTGGCTTGAATCTATTCTGCAACTTCATAAGCACCTGACAACATTGTTGAGCTTGTACCAAACAAAATCCTAAGGACCTTTGCCAAACATCCTGGAGACGTGAAACTAAGAGGAGACATCAGCTGCCTGCAGCAGAACAAGACTTCATCATTCTAGAGAGATCTACTGATACATATGAAACGCTACAGTATTCCTTTACTGTAAGGAGTACAGCATACAAGATTTTATATTGTAATTATGAGGTAGTAATCCTGAATATTTTTCAGCCCTTCATGGAACTGCCCAGTACTGTCTGTTCACCTCTCTCTTGGCAGATTTCTTTGAGTTAGAGGCAATCACCAATATTCTAAATGATTCCTGAAGCTACGTATCCTTGACACCAGAAAACATATTAATCTAGTGAAAATGCTGTATAAATTGTCTCTGAACTGCTGGCTCACAAATTATATAAGATTCTTTTCCCCTCTGCTTCTCTAAACATCCACACTGCACTTCATTTTTCTACTTGTAAACAGAAGAGGAACACAGCTACCAAAACATATGCATACAGAAGCAATTGTGTAAAATCCTTGTGTAGATGTCTCCTAAGAGATTATTTAAACACCATTTTCCTCCAAAAATATGAGAAAATTCAAAAACAAATAGCTTGACATAGTTCTCAGGCCTAACTGAAAACAGCCTGTTACAAATATTAGTTAGGACACTATACATTCCAGCCACAGCTATGAGGGCGGCCTGGTGCCATGTTTGCTGAGATGTGTAAGCTGGGTGGGTAAGACAGTGTCCAGAACAGAGCAGAGATGACAGGAATGGTTCCACCCTGTGCACTCTGCACTTGCCCACCTTCTGTCTGAGGAGAATGTTCTCCAGGCAGTGCCTAGGATCACACATCACTTCACTTGTTTAGCTAAAGCTGCACAGAATCACTCAAGCTGAAATATCCATGGTGAACACTTTAGATAAAGGTTAAAATGGCTGTACGTAAAACACTGGGCAGCTTCGTGTGAGGGCTAACATTTGACAGCAACCCAGTAGAATAAAGTTATCGTGTGACAGAAGTCTTTGCAAACAACCCTCAACTTGAAAAGTATTGTTTGCATAAATACTGCTAGCGTAGCCCTCTGATCATTTATTCCATTCCCAAACTCTGGGCAGCCGCAAATAAGCTGTAGTGAGAAATTAAAAAGCAAGCCTAGAAGGAGAACGAAACCATTGTGTGAGTCTGTGCAGCAACCACCTGGGAACTAGAGTGATTGCATTCAAAGAATTCGTATTTAAAATGGGAGCTCTGACCCTTGATAAACACATAAACTGCCGACTCTTCTCATTTAGAGTGAGTGCCTCACAGCCGTGTGTTACCTCCCAATCAGACTAGTATGGGGTAGAGAAGATAGCCCACCAGTGACATAAACTTCAAACAGGAACAGGGAACCAAAGGCATGTCCCATGAGCTAAGTGTTTGCCTGGTGCTGGGGCCATAAAGATGGCCCCTCTTCATCTTGCCTCAAGGTCAGAGAGTTCAAAACTGTCCTTAATAAGTCAAAAGACCTAAAG